CATAAAAATTATCAGTCTCCATGGAGTGTTGAGACACTTTAGGAAACTCTAAACCTTGACTGTCCACAGGTATACTAACTCCACAAGATGCACATTGCTTGCATCAGTTCCCCATGTTAGGTGGAAATTGAACAGTATTTGAGAAACACTGCATTAAGTATTTGAAAGTTTGAAATATATTAAGGTAATAAGAACATAAGAAGAGCCCTGCTGGATCACACCAGTGATCAATCTAGTAAAGCATACTGTTTCACACAGTGACCAAACAGTTGCCATGGAAGGCCAAACAGGGCACAGTGACTGAGGCCCTCCCTCGCTGCTGCCTCCCAACACAGGTGTTCACAAGCCTCCTACCTCTGTGTTCGGAGGTTCCCTTCAGGTACTATGGCTAGTAGCCACCTCTTCTCCATGAATTTGTTAACCTCCTTTTACAGTTATCTGTCCTTGTAGTGATACCTCCACTGGCACTGAACTCTAGAGCAGGACTACTTTTTAAGTAAAGAAATGTTTCCATTTGTTTCATTAGGTGCTCTCAAATTCTAGTATTATGAGAGAGGAAGAAATAGCTCCCTCTATCCACTTTCTCCATCCCCAGCATCCTATATATATAAAAGCCCAGCATATTGGCACTTTCTGGCTCTCCAATTTGCCCGTCAACCGCCACTCAAGAGTACTCATGTGCCATTGGCTGTGTGCTGGGTCCGCTCCTCTCTCCTGCCCACTACCAGCCTGGCCACTCTTCCCTGACAGAATAAACTGCCAAAACGGCTGTCCCTCCTGACAAAGCTGCTTCTCCTGCTTGGCTCCTCTGCAGCTGGCTGGATACTGAGGTGAGCCACCGGTCGTCAAACCATTCTTTTCTCCTGCTGTGGGGCTAACCTTCCCCACAGTGGCTGTTGCTAGGCAACCAAGCTTGGTTCTGTCAGTAAAAAGATAATGGCAGGAGGCCCTTTCCAGGTCTACTTTGATCTTTGTGGGGAACTCATTGGGGCCAGTCCTGGACTAGGGTTGCCAGCTCCAGGTTGGGAAATTCCTGGAGATTTTGTGGTGAAGTCTACAGAAGTCAGAGTTTGGGGAGTGAAGAGGCTTCAGCTGAATAGAATGCCATAGAGTCCACCCTCCAAAGCAGTTATTTTCTCCTGGGAAACCACTGCTGCCAATCTCCAGGTGAGGGCTGGAGTTAATTCGGTGTCCTAACTCCGACGGTCTGGGCCTCTCCCCCGAACCACTGTGCAAGCCCTACCCTGCCACTTGCCCACTTACCACGACCTACGGCCTCGAGGCGAAGTTGCAGGGTTTGAAATTGGGCAAAGAGACAGAGGATCGAGAGACGGAGAGCAATGGGAACAGCGAGTGCCCTGCCGCAACTCAGCCCCTTCCCCACAGGGCACGCCCCCCCACACGCAGCAAATGGGCGAGTCCCCAGGAGATGCCGGCAGCGCCAAGGCCCACAGGGCACCCTGGCAGAGCGTCGGAGCTCTTATACGGAGGCAGAGCCACTGGAGATTGACACCACAGTGTCCAGTAAGGAGGAGGGGAGGGTTAGAGAACAGTATAAAAGGGGAATGGAAAGGGAGACCAGGGAGGAAGGAGAAGCAGAGTGGAGAACGGAGATGGGCTGACTGGGAGTCGAAGAGAGAGATGACGCAGCAGACGTCTCCTATGGCTCTCTCGTGGGCGCGGGCCTACCTTTGGTGACAGAACCAGGTAGCCGGTCCTATTTCTGAGGTCTCCCGTTCCCCTTCCAAGGAAGGTCACCCTCCAGAACGGCGACCGGGGGCACAGACTATCCCTCTACACAGGCCGGGGCACCACACTCAGAATTATAACTGCTCTCCAGATGGCAGAGAGGAGTTGCCCTGGAGAAAATGGCTGCTTTGTAGGGTGGACCCTGTGTCATTATACCCTGCTGAGGTGGCTTCCTTCCTGCTTGGGTCTCCACTGCGGAGAAAGACTACTTTTCCTTGGTAGAGGCTGCAGGTGTGTGTGGGGGAAAGCTGAAATCAGAGGGGCAGATAAAGGTAGGTTGATGGTTGGCTGGGAAGGGGATAGGGTTGCCAACTCCAGGTTGGGAAATTCCTGGGTATGTGAGGGGTGGAGCCTGGAGAGTGTGGGTTTTGAGGAGGGCTGGGACCTCAGACAGGTACGACATAGACTCCACCCTCCAAACCAGCCATTTCCTCCTGGAGGACCACTGCTGCCAATCTTCAGGTGAGGGCTAGAGATCACTCAGAATTACAAGTGCTCTCCAGATGGCAGAGATCAATTCCCCTGGAGAAAATGGTGGACTCTGAGTCATTATACCCTGCTGAGGTCACCACAGCAAATTGACTCTGAGTGTCCAAGGCTGCAGCACCTGCCCAGAGCCTCTTTCTAGAGCTTGTTGTATTTATTTATTTTATAAATCTCTATTATGTCTCACCTTAGCCATCTTTTTTTTTCTAGGTTGAAAAGTCCCAGAGTCTCCTGCCTGAGAGAGCTGTGCACCTCACAAAGTAATTTTAGCTCACTGTATAGCAAGCAGAACTCAAATAATTAAATGGTTCTCTTTTCATCTTTCCAACTTTCCTGCTGCAAATTTAGTGTTTTAGTTATTCAGTGAAGTTTGCATGCCATCAGAATCCCACACATCCAGTGACCTAAAGCTGTTGGGCCCACACTGTCTCCCTCATTTCACTTTAATGAAAGGGCAACTCAGTGTTTGCAGATGGAGGGCAGCATCGGATCTAACCTCTTGTTTAAGTAAATAGATAAGCTAATGTTCTCAAAAGCTGCATGCATATACACAGGCTGGCAGAATTAGCCACTCTTCCCTAATAAAATGTAGAAGTTATCAAAAAATGATGAGAAAGGTTTTAAGGGGGAAAAAAATCTTTTCACTTTTGTAGACCGGCAGAATAATCATATTACTTGAGACAGAATCTATTAATATCGCTCTGGTATGAGGCAGTTTTAAAAAAATGTAAAAGCTTTACTGTTTTTCTTATCAAGGGACTTCAATAACTGTGTGAGTCAAAGATGAGCTTAGCCCTATTCTAACAAACAAACTGATTTTCTCTCTTTCATTAATATTGCCGTGTTAATGTTTCCTCTACAATTTCTACAGATCATGCAGTGATGAGCATGCAGTGATGAGCATGAAATTAAATGACATATTGTTAGCAAAGCAATAACATATTTAAAGTTATATTTGTCTCAGCCAGCTCTGGAAAAAAATATTTTGAGAAACATCAACTAACTGTACAAAGTGGAGATAAGTGGGAGAATAAGCAAACAGAAGTAAGCCACACGTCAGAAAATTGTTTTGTCACTGAAAATATTTCTATATGGAGATCTAGGGATAACCCTAGGATAACTGATGAATTTTGGAGGGCATACATACCACTGCAACATAATATGTGTTTAACCAAATTTCCTTTATAGCAAAAAATTAAAAAAATATATGAATTTCATATGAAAAATGGGAAAGTGTAATCTAAAATAGCATTCATCTTAGGGAAAGTTACTTATTTCTCACATTATATTATTTGATACAAAAGTTAAAAAAAAAGACCCATGGCAACTTTTATGAATTAAATATCAGCATGAGTTTTTATCTTCTCTCTGCCCTCGTTATTAGTTTAGCCAGAAAACTGTTAAATGTTAGAGCCTGTTACAGCCAAAAAAAAGTGCAATGGCACTTTAAAGGCCAGCTACTTTACTGTCATCTGAAATATAAACATCAGAATACTGGTACCATTCCCTGAAATTTACTTCTATGCAAATAGAATCTCTGAAACCAAGATTTTTCCTTATCTAACTTATTCCTCAAGATGAATTTCTTATCCAACCTATTCCTCGAGTTACATAACAGTATGTAGACAGTTTCACGGCAGCAATAAGCTCCATGTATATAATTCCAGTGATCCGTTGTTACATGTATAGTGGTGAAAGAGTCTTGGCACTGGCACAAGTCTGTGTTCAGGACACACACCTACACCTCCCAACGGGAGTTGCAGCTGATATTTTACTGAGCAAACTCTTGGCTCTCAACAACTGTTATTAAGTTCAAATTGTGTCTCAGAAAGGTCCTGACAGAACTTCTATTTTTTTTTTTAAAAAAAGAATCAAAATATGCTTTGATGCTCTGGTTTTAATATCGCAATAGGGCCAACACTAAAAGTGACCGTGGAAACTGACACAGAAGGTTATGGACTAGGATTCAAAGATCTATTTTAGACACGGCAAAGTGTTGTGATATCTAATGAATATTTGGATTAATATTCCAATTCCAAACTTATTTGCATAGAGGTAAAACACACTGAATTCAATGGAATTTATTTCCAGTTTAGAGTTTTTTATGGCCAAAGCTTTCACTATCTTATTTACTCAGATAGGTGGACATGGTTGATGCAATAGAGGTAAAAAGGAAGTTCAGCAGACTGAGGAACAAAAATCAGGTTAACTGAGCAAATGAGTTGCCCTTAATCACAGAATTATCCTATTACCAGAACATCATTGAATAGCCTCTGGAGCTCTTCTTGGTACAAATGAGCTTGTTTAAATGGGCTCAGTGAATTTTGCAAATTAATAGGAAGAGAATGCCTTCATCTTGACAGCCAGAAACCATAAAATTGTATGTTTGACATTTGTTGTTCCAAAAGTCTATCTTGTTTTCTGCTTTTTATTGCTGTTATAATTACTATACTATTCACATTAAAAAATCTTCCTTAGCATATATAATACTAGTTTTTTAATATCTGGATGTATACAATTTGATACATATCCTTTTTTTCTGGAATATTTTTAAAGCAAGATATAAACAGGAAAACGCTCTCAAGAGGACACAGGGAATTGAAATGAGCCATTATGTTCTGCCAGAGAAACAGAAGGTAAAACATGCTTCATATTATAGTGAAAATTCTGGATATTAACAGGTACATGTATTTGAGATGGGGGGAGGAAAGATTACTGTAATCCTGAAATGCTCACTGTAATACTGTAATTACTATAATACTCACATTTTGCTGCCAGTTGCTTCTTGTGTCTTGTGCATCCAGACAAACCTGAAGATTCTTTGGATGGTTTCACAAGATGACATCCAATATAAAGAGTTCAGCTGGATCCGTTAGGTCTCATGAGGTTTTGGCTTTGTGTAAGGCTACTCGGAAGGTCACATTGCTTCCTTTATATCTTAAACAGCTGGCTCCCTTGTTATTTTGTCAAATACTGCTTTCAAATTGTACTTAAAATATGTGGGAGGAGGTACTTGGAGAGATTTTTGTTTCAGAAGGGAGGAGACATTCCAAATAAACCACGACTTGCAATATAGTTATGTCCCTATTAGAGCTTACCAATGTGGTCACTCATATGATGTGGAGAGATGGCCACCTGTAGTCACTGGCTATGCAGTACATGAAGTATTTCCCACAGAAAAAAATGGACGAAGATGAGGGTCTTTCTGCAATTATAGCTGCAGTGTGGTAAGCAGCCGGCAAATTGTTACTTTTGTAGGATCCATTTACAACTCAGAGAGGATCATTCTGACTTCCTCAAGAGTGCCTAGGGATACCATTACACTCACAGCTGGGTCATGCGTGTATTAATATCAACAGAGCTGGTGTGGGCAAAACCGAATAGGCTTACCATCAGAAACTCCATTTTCCCCATCACTTGCTTTGCTTTATTTATCTGCACTGAATTTATTATAATATTATTGCACCACTAAAAGACAAAATTTGATGTACAGCACCCAGTAACTTTCAATTCAGCTACTAGAAAGGGCCATTGGGTACTTACCGAGAAGGCTCCTTCTCCTCTGAGATAAGGAGGACATCTTGATGGGTGTTTCCCACCCTATCTGTAGGGAGGCAGGAACCAATCTTTCACTTCCTGTCCTCTTGGTGGGATATGCCCCTCAACTCAGTTCGGGAACTCCCAGAAGCAGTAGGTAACAAAGCTCAGTAACACTGAATCATAACTTGGTTTAACTGTGAAAAAACAACAGAACAAGAACCAAGAGAAAAAATAGCAGGGACAGGAAGGAGTACTCAGCTGGATATAGGAAGCAGCAAGGTGAAGTAGAGATGATGATGACTCGGAAGGGCCAAGATGTCCTCCTTATCTCAGAGGAGAGTGACCCTTCTCGGTAAATACCCAATGGCCCTTTCTCCCTCTGAGAGGAGGACATCTTGACGGAACCTCCCATAGCAGTGTCCTCATCAGTTGGGTGGGTCATCATCCCTATCAGTCAGAACTTACTGCAGAATCCTTCGGCCAAAGGCCGCATCAGCTGAGTCATAGACATTTATCTTATAGTGCCTAATGGAAGTGGAGACAGATGTGGCTGCTCTGCAAATTTCTTCCACTGTGGCACTGAGGCTGCATTTGCTGATGTGCTACAAATGGAGTGAGCTGTGATTCCTGGAGGGGGAACCAGCTTCTGAGCCTTGTACGCTTCAGTGATACAGGCCTTGAGAGTAGAGCTGATAGTAGCCTTAGACATCTTGCAACCCTTATTAGGTGGGGAGATGGAGATGAACAATGATTTTGTCTTCCTAAAGCCAGTAGTGCGATGGAGGAAGGTCTTTAAAGCCTGCCACACATTTAAGGAATGCCAAATCTGCTCTGTAGGATGAGATGAATTTGGGCAGAAGAATGGCAGGCAGATCTCCTGTGACCTGTGAAATCAAGAGTTCACCTTAGGTTGAAAGGTAGGCTCCATAGTAAGCATTACCTTGTCATTGTGGAACACGCAGAGCTGTGGGTTTGCTGAGAGGGCTCCTAGCTCTGACACCCTGCGTGCTGAGGTCACTGCCACCAGAAATAATGTCTTCATATGTAGCCACTTCAGCAGAATCTCCTTGATGGGCTCGAAAGGAGGCCTTGTCAATGCATTGAGGACCACATTTAATCTCCATGTAGGAAATCTGTGAGTCGTGGGTGGATCCTGGAGTGCTGTCCCTTTAAGGAACCAGCGAACATGAGGATGTCTTGAAAGCCCCTAGCCATTGAAAGTGGGAAGGACTGTAGCCAAGGCCACCACCTGGTGCCTGAGGGTGGAAGCCTTCAAGCCGGAGTCGTAACTGTCCTGCAAGAAGGCCAACATGTTCCTGATACGGGGCTTCAAAGGATCCACATCCTTTCTTCTGGACCACCTAACAAAGGCCTTCCAGGTTGTATTGTATATCTGACCTGTGGACTGTCTTCTAGATGACAACATAGTACTCGTCACCTTTTCAGAGTAGCCGAATCTGAGGGGTTTCTCCTGCTCAATTGCCAGGTGGTCAAGCGAAGCCATCCCAGGTCTGGGTGCCAGATGGGTCCTTGAGTCAGCATGTCTGGAAAGATTGGCAGAGGAAGGGTCGGATGTAAGGCAAGATTCTGGAGCTCTAAGAACCATGGTCTCCTTGGCCAATATGGAGCCACCACTATGATTTCCGCTTGCTGTTCTCAGATCCTCCTCAGGAGCTTTGGGAGGACTGGGGCCAGAGGATACGCAAACATGAGCCTGGGTGGCTACTGGGACACCAGGGCATCTGTCGCTTCTGCCCTGTGGTGATAGAATCTGGTGAAGAATCTGTGCACCTTGTGGTTGTCTAGGGACACTTCAGGGAGACCAAAGTGACGTGTAATCAGGTTAAGTGCACGGACTCTAATCTGGGAGAACCGGGTTTGATTCCCCACTCCTCCACTTGCACCTAACTGGATGACCTTGGGCAAGCCGTAGTTCTGTCAGAGGTGTTCTTGAAAAAGAACTGTTTCTGTCAGAGCTCTCTCAGCCCCACCTACCTCACGGGGTGTCTATTGTGGGGAGGGGAAGGGAAAGGAGTTTGTAAGCCACTCTGAGACTCCCTTGGGTAGTGAAGGGCAAGGTATAAATCCAATCTCTTTTTCTTGTTGTTGTTCTTCTTCTTGAAGAGGTCCGACTTCAGTGACCATTCCCCTTCCTGGAGTTGCCAGTGTCTGAGCCAGTCTGCCCGAGTATTCAGGGTGCCCTTTATGCACTCTGCCTTGATTGAGGCTATGTTGACTTCTGCCCACTGAAGTAGCTTGGAGGCTTCCTTGTGGAGTAGTGAGGACCTGGATCCCCCTGGCCATTGATGTATGCCTTGGCAGATACGTTGTCTGTCCTGACCAGGACATGCTGGCCAGCAATCTGCGAGAGGGAGCATATCAGGGCTAGCCGGATGGCTCTCAGTTCTAAGAGGTTTATAGGCAACTTCTTTTCCTCTCTGGATCATATGCCCTGTGCCGGAGTGTCAAGGAAGACTGCTCCCCAACCATGAAGGCTGGCATCCGTAATCATCTGCTTCCACTCCGCGATATAGTAAACGCGGCCCTGTAGGAGATTCCAAGCAGGAGTCCAAGCAAGAGATAAAGAGTTCCATTAGTTTGACTAGGGTTATCAGCGATGACTGTTTGCCTTTGATGATTTGACGGCAAAGGGAATGAATCTTCTCCACCTTGGAAATTGGAAGAAGCATGCAATTCTTCACTGTGTTCACAAGAAACCCGTGAGACTGCAGACAATGGATCTGTCTTCCATGTCCTGATGGGCATTGGCTTCCAAGCTGGAGTGAATCAGAAGGTCATCTAGATAGGGGTGAACATGTATTCCCCTCTCTCGCAGCAGGACAATAGGGTGTATAAGGATTTTGGAGAACACCCTTGGGGGTGGTAGAGAGGCCGAAGGACAGAGCTTGGAATTGCCAGTGCTGACCTGCATGCAGAAGCAGAGGAACTGTCTGTGTCCATGAAATATGGGAACATGGAGGTAAGCTTCTGTCAAGTAAATTGAGGTCAGAAACTCCCCCAGTTGTAGGACCTCTGCGATGGATTGAAGGATTTCTATGCGGAAACGATGTAGCTTGACGAAACGGTTTAGATATTTCAAGTCCAAAATGGCTCTCCAACTTCCATTCCTCTTCAGGACAGTGAAGAATATCCAATAGACCCCTTGTTCTCTCTCTCTGGTGCAGGGACCGGTCTTATAGCCACCTTTTTCAAATGGTGGAGGAAGCTCCAAGGGGCTCGGCCATACTAGACTTAATATTAACCAACAGGAAAGAATTGGTAAACAGGGTGAAGGTGGTGGGGACATTAGGGGAAAGTGATCATGTCCTCCTTGAATTTCAGTTGCTGTGAGGGAGGGTCAAGGAAGTTCATAGCCAGACTCGTAAGTTAGATTTTCGTAGGGCTGACTTCAACAAACTCAGAGGCTTGATGGGAGTCATTCTGTGGGGGAGTATGCTGGAGGGGAAAGGAGCGAGTGAAGGGTGGGCTCTTCTCAAACATGAGCTTTTGCGAGCTCAAGCCCTCACTATTCCAGCAAGATGGAAACATGGTAAGGGCTCCAAGAAACCGATGTGGGTGAACTGAGAGCTTCGAAATAAGCTAAGGGAGAAAAAGGAAACAGATGGAAATGGAGGGAAGGTCAGACCTCTAAAGAGGAGTATATGAGAGTTACTAGGCACTGCATATCAGCCATCAGAGAAACCAAAGCTCAGTATGAGTTGGATCTGGCCAGGGGGGCTCGCTACAATAACAAAAACTTCTACAGATGTGTGAGAAGCAAACACAAGGTAAAAGAGGCAATTGGACTGCTTTTGGGAGTAGAAGGAGAAACTCTGATGGAGGACAGAAAAAAAAGCAGACAGGCTTAATGACTTTTTGCCTCTGTTTTCTCCCTGAAGAACTCGAGCCCATCTAAAGAAGAAGAGATTGGATTTATACCCCGACCTTCACTACCCAAAGGTGTCTCAGAGTGGCTTACAAACTCCTTTCCTTTCCCCTCCCCACAACAGACACACTGTGAGGTAGGTGGGGCTGAGAGAGCTCTTTCCAGAGCTGTCCTTGAGAGAACAGCTCTTGTCAGAACTACGGCTTGCCCAAGGTCATCCAGCTAGGTGCAAGTGGAGGAGTGGGAAATCAAACCTGGTTCTCCCAGATTAGAGTCCTTGCACTTAACCACTACACCAAACCAAGATGGTATATGACATAACAGGACACCTGAGTGTCCAGTTGACATTGACAGGGAGGTTGTAGAGAGGCACCTGGCTGCACTGGACAAATACAAATCCCCTGGGCCAGATGGTGTGCACCTAAGAGTGTTCAAGGAGCTCTAAGGAACTTGCAGAGCCTCTGTCCATCATCTTCAAGGCCTCCTGGAGGACTGGGGATGTACCACAAGATTGGAGAAGAGTGAATGTTATCCCAATCTTTAAGAGGGGAAGAAGGATGTCCCGGGAAACAACAAGCTGGTCAGTCTGACTTCTGTTGCTGGGAAGGATTTAGAGATTTTAAAGGGATTGATCTGTAAGCGTA